ATAAAGTTACATTCAACACTACAGCTAGTTGTACTGTAAACGATGACTACGATTAATATAGTTACATTCAACATTACAGCAGGACTTTCAAGATCCTAAGATGTTAATTGGAGTGCTGTATTGATTTGATATCAGATTTCGATGTGTGTACTCCGCGCACACACCGGTGGGCGTTTTCTACAGAAACTGACACCAACACTTCCTTTGACGGCAAGTTGCAAGGCTCATATGGCGGAACCCGCTGCCTTATCTGAGCTTCTCGACCACAGCTATGTAGCGGCGCCATATAAAGCAGGCTTCATTAATTGACTGGGCTTCAAACACCGGCAGTTGTGATGAGGTCGTAGTTGCCAGATCCTTTACTTAGCTTTTTAGAATGCTATATGTCAACTATTATAACTGCACTTTTAAAAGGGGCAGCTCCATTGGTTATGTACTGCCAAGTCAATTCGACGGCTCTCGTCGTGTGTGTGGTGAATTGAAACCTCTTCCGCCAATTAAATGTTGTCTGCAAGTGACGTTAATGAGAGTGATTGACCTGTTTATTCATAGATCGTCTAAATCATCATAATCCCTTGACAGGAAATGTACCTGACGAATACTCCTTAGTGCATTTCTGACATATGTAGGCGGCTCAGCCATGTTGCGCAATACCAGAAAGGGACTATCATCGTTCCACGTGTTTAAGAACTTATTCCACTCGTACGCGTCCCAACCTCTGCCGCACCCGAATACGTGTATGCGAACTAGACCTCTATTATTAGCACAGAGATTCCGTAACTGCCTCAGTGTGGGGGTGTATCTATTCTTAAAATTTATCCGTTGCACGGACCTCGAGCTGAGTGTGAGATAGTTTTGCTTCAACTCGTGCCGCGATGGATTGCGTCCGTTGCCTTCGTACAGCTCTACTGTGTGCACCGTCCCACACGACAACAAGAACTCGGATAACTTTGAAGTGGCCTGACAAACCTACAAGAACAAATCACATTGACATCCATGAGTGCAGCACATACACACTAATCCTGTACATGCACGCTAGGGCGCACGATTGAAAAAGGCAATGCACACAAAACACTACAGATATGAGATATAGGTGGGAGGGGTGACGATTGGACATAAAACCATGCAGCACGATTATGAAAACACATATTTTTAATCAATTAATAGCGCTAAACAAAACTCATATCATGTGGGCACTTGAGCACTATTCGTATACACTCGCTCAACTTCAATCGCAAATCATCATATAATGAGAGCAATAAGTCGCCACTAACTCTTTCTGCATTTCAACCACAACCTCCGATTGTATACGTCACACAAAAATCAACACAAAAACTAATCAAGTCTTCGCAACATGGAACATACCCGAATTGTTAATAACTGTGGCAGCACCAGCGGCCCTTCCACGCGTGCTATACTAAGATGCAGCAGGCTATGTGAGCTGATTGTTTGATGTTTCGCCACCTCGTGCAGATGTAGCGTGGTAAGTAACGGGAACTCATGAAGTGTGTCTACTCGAAAGGAGTTCACCAGCTCTTTATTCTCAGCCCTTTTAATGCTAACATGTGTGAGTGTTTTGCATTGGAACTGTACAGGCCACAATAGCGTGCTAAACTCGGTCAACTGCGGGCACAGCACCACTGCATCGTAAGTTAGTATGGCATCTACGCCTATCTTAGTTAGAGATGCACTCCATATAGCTGTATCCAGTATAGCAACCCCCTCCCCGCCTAGCATTAACGTCCGTAACTTTGGACACTGATCTAATGTAGGTTGTATAGGTACTCCCCACGCGTACAGCTCAATTAAACTAGGACTGCAGATAGATACACGTAAAACTGTTGCCGTGGTGAGCTTCTCTACACTGTTAGTAAGGTAGTCAGCGTGATTAAATATCTGGCCCATATTCAGTACTTTTGGCTGAAATCGCTGTATGTACGCACAGAACAGTGGCAATTCAAAGTCCATGTAGTAGCACTTGGAAAGGTCGAGAGAGGTTACCCTCGGTAATAGTGGCACAAGTATATCTAGATAGGCTTCATAGTCTTTCTGCACTGTGTATAGCTTGCGATTATCAACAATCACGGGCATGCGGAACTCCACCAGATGCGAGCAACTGGGTTGTTTAAGTACACTGCACACAACATCCATGGCGCAAAACATCAGCAACCCTTTGTGTTTGAAATAGTACCGGTACAAGTAGTCAGGCAATCGTTGCCATAACGACCAATCCAGCGCTAATGTGTGAAGTGCTTTGCACGTACGGGCGATCTGCAATAGATTCTTCGGTGGCAAATAGCTGAGTATTAATAGCATTGGATCGCGTGGGATGATTTTCCCGCACAGGCGTATCAAGTCCTCGTTGTGCATACCAATTGTGCCTATAAGTATTGGTTTCTTGTCATTATTGATATGCATACACTCCATGTTATTTATATTTACACAACAACAATAGCATTACAACAACGATAAATATAAAATATGGCGCCTTAAATACACGAGAGGTTATCGGTGATCAGACAAGTCATGGGACTCATGAAGGCAGTCACTCGACTATCAGAGTCTCAAGAAAGTGACAAGTGACTGTGAACTTGTGGGTTGTGAAGAGTCCAACCTCCAGCAGAGAAAATGATGACGGTAAATAAGTACTATAAATGGACTCGATCAATTTGGCGGTTCAAGCGCATTCAGAGCATCAGTCGGCGTGGTCTTTTATAGTATCTTTAGAGTCTAAATATTTATTTGGTAGAGGCAATACTTCTTGAGGACAGACGACTAGTCGAGGTCTCTTGCACATTCATATCTGCATCATGATATGTAATTTAGTTGGATATGCATGATGGGTAAAAATAATTCAGGTTTCATTATATATGTACACATAATTATTTGTATAAATATATTTTAATTCAAATAGCATTTGTCACAATCTAAAAACTTACTTGGTTAGGTATTCAGAAGCACGCACATGTAAACGTATTATTTGAAGTCAAAACCATAAGTCATGATTTCAGACTGAGCTGAAATAGTCATCAAACAGCACATTCAATCATATAATACAAGTTAAATAAAATGAATATATATAACATATTCATAACACAAAAGTATTTTTAAACACATGTACATATGTACACGTGTACACACACACACACCTATATA